TATGTTAGGGGTAATTAGGTAATACAAAAAAATATTGAAATATATACTCAATAACAATAATTTAATGAAAAAAGATGACTTAATGAAACATAAGTCTGATTATGATATTTAGAACAAGGGCAATTTAGAAGCCAGTACAATTTTTTAGACTTATTTAGACAAAAGTACAACTCAAAAACTTATTTTGGGTAAAATGCATATTTTTTTAAAATACCATTATTGCCATCGATAAACAGTAAATATATGGAACTCAATATCTTTCATCCATTTTTTTTTGGCTAAAATCAAGTGGGAGGTAAAATAGGCGGTTTAATTATCAAAATCCATCTTCTTTGGCAGAGGGATTGAAATGTCGAACTGTAACTGTTTATCGTTCAAAAAAAAGAGGAACCCGAGTGTTCATCGTCCAAAAAAAAAGAGGATTATGAGTTACTATTCATCGTAAAAAAAAAAAGGAATTCGAGTTACTGTTCATCGTTAAAAAAAAAAGAAGAATACGACTTACTGTTCATCGTGTCCTATGGTTAAGTAACTGTGAATCATCTTCGGCAACCTCTTCACCGGAAATAGTAGGTGACATTCATTTTTTGTTTTTTTTGTCATTCATTAATTTTTTTTCCCACAATTTGTGTTGTTTGATTTTTTGATTAAAAATAGTTACGTAACTATTTTAAGTAATTATTTGTGATCACAAATTACAAATTGTTAATATTAAAAAATTAATGGTTGAAACTGTATTGACACAGTTACACCCATTAAAATACAGTTATACCTATTAAAAAATAGTTACATCAATTAAAACATAGTTACACCAATTAAAACAAAATCAGTTTTTTTTCCCCTTCATTCCAACATCAAGCAAATATAAAACAAAATCGAACATAGGAATTTCCCAAAAAAAATGGTCAAATAAAAGAAGAAATATACTTATTATGTCTATATGAAAAAACAGTTACACCCATTTAAAACAATTACACCCATTAAAACCAAAAATAATTTTTTTTCCCCTTCATTCCAGTAATGAGCAAACATAAAACAAAATCGAACATAGTCATTTCCAAAAAAGATGACCGAATAAAAGAAGAAATATATTTATTATGTCTATAAGAAAAAATAGTTACAAAAATTAAAAACAGTTACACCCATTAAAATCAAATGCATTTTTTCCCCTTTATTCCAACAATGAACAAACATAAAACAAAATTGAACATAGTCATTTTAAAAAAAAAATACCGAATAAAAGAAGAAATATACTTATTATGTCTATAAGAAAAAATAGTTACACAAATTAAAAATAATTACACCCATTAAAATCAAATGCATTTTTTCCCCTTCATTCCAACAACGAACAAATATAAAACAAAATCGAACATAACAATTTCCCAAAAAAAATGACAAAATAAAAGAAGAAATATAATTATTAACAACTAATCTTTAAACCAATGACGATAATTGATATTTATAGTTTCTTTTTTCGAATAAATTCACTATCGGAGAAGTAAATCGACCGTTGAATAAAACTTTTATTGCCGAGATCAGATGAACACAGACGTTGAAAAAGACTTTTACTGTAAAGATCAATTTTTTTTTTTCCAAACAAACTGCAGAGACTTTTGAAGACTTTTTGTGTTACCGCAAAAGCTTTTTGTCATACTGTAGAGATTAGTTGAACACAAACTTTTACTACATACAAAACTACTCATTCAACATTCAAAAATTAAAGATAACAAATATGTAATCTTTACATATTTGTTTCCTCAAATAACTGTCAATGATGGCTGCATAAATTAAGGAAGGGTGTTTAAGTAAAAAAATTTTTAATTCATTTGAATTTTGTACCTATGCATAAATTTTTTTATAAAAATTTTACTTAATTGAATAAATAACTTATCCATATACTTTTGCCTAAATAAGTCTAAAAAATTAGGGTTAATTACACTGAAGGTCCCCAAATTATGAAATTTGTCTTATTTTGGTCTCCAATTTTTTAATTGTATCATTTTGGCCCCTGAAGTATTAAATATACTTTCATATGGTCCCTTAAACAGACAGTGTCTAGATTGCTAATAAATTATTTATCACAAATTTGCCACATGATACTTAAATGTGGACAAAAAAAATAATTTGGATAATTTTTGACCAAATTTTTACTCAAATTTTGGTTAAATACCTACTTCAATTTTACAGTTTTGATCATGAGCTATCCAAATTTTAGTCAAAAGCTACCCATATTACACATTTTTTTGTCAAGAACTATCCAAATTTTATTTAAGAACTATCAAAATTATTTTTTGTCCATATTTAGCTATTACGTGACAAGCTTATGATAAAAAATCGTTAGCAATTTAGACGTTGTTTGCTTGAAGGACCATATAGAAACATATTTAATATTTCAGGGACTAAATGATGCAATTGAAATATTAGGGATCAAAATGAGACAAATTTCATACTTTAAAGACCTCCAGAACAATTAATTCAAAAAATTATACGCACACTTAAAAAACCCTTAAAACTAATTAAATTTTAGAAAAGATGCTTGCAAACAAATATTCCGGACGGCCCAACCAAATTGGGGAGTTATCCTGGTCTCATGATGGCCTTCAGCCCAAAAGCCTCTTGACAGTGGTACCTCCACTGCCTCGAAAGGGCCGAACCTTCGTCGCCATATGAAAAGCTTCCGCAGCACACTACTTCCAAAAAGTTCGTTCTCATTTTAATCTAAACCAATTAACTCCCACTCCACGCACTAACGTACACGCGATGAAAACTCATTGTTCGAAACACAACATTTTTGAACGGTCCAGATGTCGCCTTTCTCAATCTTTTTTTGTGCGCCAGAGCACTTGATTCATCCACCTAATATTCACAACCCGCGCAATTTTGAATCTCTTTCTGTCCCTCTGTAATATCCCATCAACAAATTCCAAAAATCCATTTCTATACATATATTACATACAGAAATTAGCCATTGCGAGTGAAAGTTTTGCACAGAGAGAGAAAGAGAGAGAGAGAGAGAGAGGAGGTGGTGAATTGATGAAGAGAAAAGCCCTAAACCTAAAGAAGAGCAAGAGTAGGAGAGAGAAGAACAAAATGAAGGGATCACTGGCAAGACACTTGTCGGCTCAGATAGGGCAAGTCTCTTTCAAGCCGATCCAACCACCGCAATCTTTATCATTCTCCTTCTCCAATCCCTCTCGATTCCAGAATCTTCTGGAATCCGAAGCAAAAGCAGCTTCAAATTCACATCTTCCCTTATCGTCGCCTCTCGACGTGGATGTGGATGCCAATGCCGATGACAATGATTTCATTCTCAGTCAGGACTTCTTCTGGTAAATTCCTATTTCCCTTTTATTCTATCTTTTTATGGCATAATTTTGTTGGCTCAGTCTATTTGGGGTCTGTTTTTCAGTTGGACTATATTTCTTGGTGCCAAGTTTCTGTATTGACTGTTTAATCGGATTCTATTTTGCTGTTTGAATGTGCTAAATGTACTTAAACTGTTCATATTATACTCTCGTAGTTCTTGAAGTCTTAGAAGCAGTAAGTTAATCTGCTAATTATACAGACAGACTTATCAAAATTTATCAAAATTCATTTACTTCAGAAATTTCCCGTTCAAATATTTTTTAGCACTAACCTGTATGCCTGTTTGTCAGCTTGAAGTTTTGAACACAAATTTCATGCTACATGGGAGCCACCTAGGGAGGGAACAAAATTTGGGTTGAATTTTGCTTCTAACTATAGATATAAATGTACACTGAATGGGTCTGTAGGAATGAGTAGGCATACAGTATCTTACTGCTCGAGAATCACTTTTTGTTGGGCCGAGTGAACAATGCAACTCTTGATTTTGTGCTATTACTCAGCAAAAGTAAATAGGGTGCTATTGGCCCTAACGGCCTAGTAGTGTGTTGTTAGTTTAGATGATACAATTTGTGTTCTTATTTATAGTCCATTTTGATTATGCAGCACTCCCGATTATATTACACCTGAAGGGCCTGGGCTATCTAATGGTATAGATTTCAATAAGGTGAGGTATAAAGGGATGTAGAAATGGCTACCCTTATTGTTGATGCTAAATAGAACTGATTATTTGCATTTTTTTTTTGGGTGTGCAGGAAAGCATTCCTTGTCCGAATTCACCTGAAAAATTGAAAACTGTAGGAAGCAAAAGATACAGATTGGGTAAGATTGATGTTTAACTTGCTATCATGCACTTGGGCTTTCAAATAAGTCATACCTGGCCACACCAGCATTCACCTCAGTCCTTAGTAGGTGCATTTTTAACAGTAGCTGCATTATCAGCAGCAGACATCGTTATGGTCAAAGATTTTATAGCACAGATGTTTGTTTTGTCCTCAGCTGGTGCTATTGCCAGCTTATTTATTGTCCCACATCCATTTCAAGTTGTTGTTTCTCAGTTTCAGTTATGCTTTGACTTCGTATTTTATTTGTTCATTGGCAAGTATGTCATAACACAACCATGGTGGGCAAATTGCCGGTCTCTCAAATTTTTGCATTTTGAAATGTTTTGGATGGTAAACAAAGTTGAAGGCCTTTTTCCTCTACACAAATACTCTTTATAAGTAACTTAAATCCCTTGGAATGATAAACATTGCAACACAAGTGGTGAAAGTCGTTTGCAAATGGTTTCTTGAGTTGTCAATTGTCGTTTGCAAATGGTTTCTTGAGTTGTCAATTGTTGCCCCACTTTACTTGCTGCAGCATTTGCCTCTCCTTGTATTGTTAAGGCACACTACCTCTATGTTTTTACTTCTCTCATAAATTCAAATAAAATTTTCAGATATCTCTGTAAATTCACTCAGTTCGAATTTGTCGTGTGATCAACAAGTGGTGGAACCTGCACAAGATCATTTTGGACCAGATGAAATCAAGATAGACAAATCCATTGAATCACAAACAAACCATAGTTACGTATCCCAATCTGCAGTGGCTTTACGCTGCCGAGTTATGCCTCCCCCTTGCATGAGAAACCCATACCTTAAAGATGCTTCAGAAATTGATATTGATCCCTTTGGCAACCGCAGATCAAAATGTGCAGGTACATATTTGGTGGGTTCTTATCTTTATGAATTAACCAACTCTCTTTTGGTGTTTTGGAAACGAGATTCTTGATAAAGCAACTATTGTTCTGGCTGCTGGGCAGTTTTGTATTGTGCATATGCATTTAAACTACAATCTACGGGCCCCCGTTGTATCTGCTGCCATCTCCAGCCAGTTTTTGAGACCCGCTTGGTGCAGTTGCATGCTTGAGAAAATGTGGGGAGCCCAGCGAACGGGGGTTGGGTAACATAGATGAAAGAAGGAAAACAGCATATGACAATTGTACCTCTCTTTGAGATGACGGAAATTGGCTTCCTATTTTAATCCTATGATGCCATTTTCTTCAAAATAGGCTTGACTTACCGTTTTCTTTATGGCTCTTATAAGAAGATATACCAATGCAATGTAGGCCATATAGCCAGTTAACAGTCCAAAAGGGGCATGAATGCATATAAAGAAGAATAGTTGAAATTGGGGGGTTTTGCAGGTGGGGAGTAGACATAGATATCTAGAGGATCCCATATTTCCTTTTCTAAGAATTTCAATCAAGCAATGTGTTTTTCAATCTGTAGGCTTCTCTCCAGTAGTTATTGGTGGTGATGGCCTTTCACGCTATAGGACAGATTTTCATGAAATAGTGGTATGTATTCCAATACCAAACTTTCTTGGTTTTTAATCAACACTTTTTGAATCCATAATTGATATTCTGTCTTTTGGGTACTCGTGTGTTTTGTGATTGATCTGTTCCTCTTTCAGCAAATTGGTAATGGAAACTTCAGTCGTGTTTTCAAAGTTTTGAAAAGAATTGATGGTTGCATGTATGCAGTAAAATGTAGTGCAAGGCAATTACATCAGGATGCAGAAAGGTATCTTTGCCATCTTTTTTTTGACCACTTTATGTTGCATTTGGATATCGAGTCCCTCTGTTAGGATATGGTGCTAAATGTGATAACTTTTGCAGGCGAAAAGCTTTGATGGAAGTTCAAGCCTTGGCCGCTTTAGGTTCCTACATGTTTCTTGAATTTATTTTCTGGTACATTTTCTATAACAATGTGTGAAATGATACCCTTTAACTAAAAATTTTTGATTTTGTTTCCAGGATCCCATGAAAACATTGTTAGCTATTACTCTTCTTGGTTTGAGAATGAGCACCTCTACATCCAGATGGAGCTCTGTGATCATAGCTTGTCTATCAATAGATTTTCTAAATTATCCACAGAGGGTGGGGTGTTAGAAGCAATGCATCAGGTTAGTGTTGTACATGTGAGACATAGTTGCTTCTTGGTGGATTGCAAGATCTGGACCATCACTATGCCCAGAATCAGTATGGATTGCAAGATCTGGACTATTTGATTTGGTGGATTTTTAATACATGTTTTCAAGATTCCATCTCTTAAAACCATCTGAAATTCTACCACGTTCCCATGTTTATTAATGGTAGGATTCAACAATATGTGGAACCAATCTCTTAGTTTGATGTTATTCCACATGCCGATTGCTTACATATGTCTGTCTATGGTTTTATGATTTCCCTAGCCATTGTGCATGTACAAATTGAAGGCTATTTGCTAGCTTCATATTTATATGCTCAACTCAACTCAACATGGAATGTCTGGTGTCTTCTTGTTCATTGATACTTTATGCTTTTCTTGAAAGTCTTTTGACTTGAAGGATTCCATTTTATTATTACATTTTAATTGCTATTATAATTTTTTTGTTCACACCCCCAGGTAGCCAAAGCCTTGCAGTTTATACATGAGAGAGGGATAGCTCACCTAGATGTAAAGCCCGAGAATATTTATGTCAAGAACGGTGTTTATAAGCTTGGAGATTTTGGCTGTGCAACTCTACTCAATAGGAGCCTGCCAATCGAAGAGGGTGATGCACGTTATATGCCCCAAGAAATCCTGAATGACAAGTATGATCATCTTGACAAGGTTGACATTTTCTCACTGGGAGCTGCTATCTATGAGCTTGTCAAAGGGTCTGCGTTGCCAGAGTCGGGGCCCTTTTTCCTGAATCTTAGGGAAGGAAAACTGCCGCTCCTGCCAGGCCACTCTATGCAGTTTCAGAACTTACTCAAGGTGCAATAGTTATCTACTTTAACTCAAAATGAATTTTCAATTATTTATTTTTAGTATCTCATTTAAATCTTAGTTATTGCTTGAGTTGCAATGTCCGGAAACAAATAGTTTCCTGGCATCCCACCCGGTGGTGGTGCTATTTGTGTTTGGTATCCTGGGCAGCTTGGTAACATGAGACATCTTACAATTACATATTATAATCTTGTTTGTGTTTTGCATTTCAAAGATCTCCAATTCCCCTTTTAACTCAAAGCTATGTTGAGATCATTGGTTTTGTGCTTCAAATGGTCCCAAATAATCTTCTATTGGTCATGGGGATTACAAAATTTACCTTGGAGTTGCTTTAGAGTTTCAAGTTAATAATGTTGGCCAGTGTCAGTGTGATGGTAGCTTCAAGATGGAGCAAGTACCACATACTCTTGGGACAATGTTTTCTAGATTCCATTGAAACCTTAGATTTCTTCAAGCTAAAGAAAACAGCTATCATTTTCCTGGCTTTTGGGAGGCATCCTTGAGTTGCTTCCAAATGCTTGTCACATGAACTCAACTTCTTACTTTTGGAAGAACCAATATATCAACTATTATACTCCAGAAGTTGATTTATAAGGTACTTCAAAATATTACTTGCAAAAGTATCCTGCTTGTGTTCTATTGATTTGTCCATCCATCCAGGTCATTATGGATCCAGACCCTGCTCGGCGACCTTCTGCCAAAGAACTAGTTGAAAATCCAATTTTTGACAGGCGCCAACGAATTGGAAAAACTAAGTAAGACCATTTTTTTGATTCAGATTTTGTCTGGGGTTTGAAATTGCAATCGAACTATAAGAGATTATATATATGGCTACTTCTAATGACTGTGTACAGCTAATCCTCCAGACCCTGCAATGGAAAAAGTCTCGTGGATTGGGAATGCTCTACTTCTAATGGCTAATCCATAAAGAAGAAAAGTCAGGAAAAAGTTTATAACTGGGCCAGTTTTGTAACAATTGTATTGAGCCCAGTATATGGCACCAGGTTTTTCCATTTGCATGGTGCTTATTTTGTAAAAAGTTACACAAGAAACCTGGGTAAGTGTTGTATTTTGTTGCGAATTAGGTGACACTATATATGCAGTCCTAATGGAGGAGCCCCATGTTATTATTCGCTTGCTTAAAGATGTCAAAATATGATATAATCTGTTAACACGATATGAGATAAAAAAATTTAGATATTTTTTAAGCCATCCATTTTATAAATAAATGGGCTTGACACGACATGATTGACAAAACATTTGGGTATGGGTAAAGTCTATTGAATGAAATATACAACATAATTTATTTATATATTTGTTATATATGATTTATGTACGATATGAATTTGATATGATATAATTTATTAGATATATATTGGTAAAAGAATGTGGTATGATTGAAATATTTTTTAATTGAACTTGTTAAAATCTGACACAAATTTATTTCATTCCAATCAATTGGTAGATGTACTCTTGCTGAATACTGGTTTACAACTCTTTTGTTGGTGACCAAAGCCCAAGAATAACCATCTTGCACTCTATGAGGTTTGCTTTTTCATATTCCACCTAGGAAAAGCAGGTGGTGCACTAAAGAAGCCCTAAAGAAGCCCATAAAACCAATGCATGTTTCAATCCATTTCTGATTTAAAGGTGGCTTGAACAGAAGCTCATACCCATAATAAGAGTATGGGTTTGGTAGCCCAAGTAGTGTGATCCGTTTTTTTTCCCACTAGGAAGATTAGTGGGGTCAAGCTTCTTGAGGGGCAGTGTGGGGCCTACCTTATTGGTTGTGGAAAGAAGACAACGAAAAAGAACGGTGTCATTCTTATTAAATTTTTACCGAAAGTTGCTTCTAAAATCAATATTAATTATTGATTTATGGGTATTGTTAATTTTTTTAATAAATGTTTTAGTATATGCATTATTACTTAAAAAAGAAAGAGATCCTTGTGTATGAAGGCTAAAAACCTTTACCTCGAAGTATTAGCCATGACATTAAAAGATGTAAACAATTTTCTTGATAAATTATGGTGTCGACGAGTTCATGTTTTATATGATAAATTTTACTTGATTTCTTGTTAATCACATTGTTTTATCGTTGACAACGATTGACAAGGTTAATGCTGAATAGAGATTCTAAAAAAATGTATCGATTTTTTTTTTTTAATTGTGAATGAATCGGATTCGTGCTGTTTGCAGGAAATAAAAAACAAACACATCCTTCATATTCTTTGTACCATGTGAATGATAATTATCCTATGCTACACATAAGCTTACGAAGAAACAGGTGTTTTTTTCTTAGTTGGAAGATGCCTATGTTGACGTACATTATGCTTATCCGTTTTTACAATACAACATGGACGGTTGAAAATAACCTATTGCAAGCAAGAGACAGATTATATGTTAAAATTACAATCTTTTGGTTTGAAATTAGTGCTCGGCTTTGTCAAGAAACTGCAATTATTGTCCTATAATTTATGTTTTCTAAGTTATTTTAGTATTGATCATGATATCTTGTGTTTGACACACGTGACCAAAAAAAGTCGCGGAGTACAAAGAGTAATGTTACTCGAATCTTAAAATTTATTGATCTAATAATAATATTATAGCGACATAATTAAATATCATTACTTAGCGTTAATTGTTGGACTAGGGTCGGCCCAACCACGAGGCTGCTAAAGTCTGGGTTTTAGGCTCTATTCAGATAAAAGGCTTCAAATTTTTATGTGTATTAATAGCATATGTCAAACTTTTATATTCATAATACGTTTAGGCTTGACAAAAGGCTCTATAAGAGTATAATTCAATTTGAAAATTTTAAGCCCAATACCATAATTAGAAATTTATAAACGACTTAGTTGTATTATTTATTGAGAATGATATATGAAAAAAAATAAAATTTGAAATGTCACAACTTAATTTGTATTTTCTCATCTCAAATCGAAAAGCAAAATATGTATATTTCGAATGAATACAATTTAATATTTATTATTATTATTGTTACTATTTTATTAAATATTAATATCACATCATTTATAAATTTCCTTTGTGTTGGAATTTATCATTGAAATTTTATCGCTTCACACATCATTAAGTCAACAATTTGGTCACATTTGTAAGTCCCAATAACATTACTCAGAGTAAAAAAAGAAAAAATAGAAAAGCATAGGTATAAGTAGAAAGGAATCTAATACAAATTGAATAGTTTTTGATACAGACTTACTAAGACCCACCATAAATCAACACGACCCGGCACTTGAGCCTTTGATATGAATAAAGACACTTATGTGAGCTAAGTTGAACAGGTACGTAATAAGCTTAAGAAAAAACGAACATTACTTGGCCTTATCGCAGTAGTCAAATGTTACTTTGTTTGTTCACGAGGTACTTGTTTTGTATACCTTTCCATTGACATTTTAGGGTAAGAGTGAGAGTGACGCCTTGGTGGGTTTATCTGCCGGTCTGTCTTGACCACCTAAACAATGATCGGTCAATGTAAAGACGTACTCAACAAGAAGATCGTGGCCAGCTGGATGGTCTCATAACTCGTTAACATTGATATGCACACAATACAATATTAAAGAGTTTAAATCTTTTTAAAGGCATCCGTTTCGTAAATGATTGGACCCGACACGTCGCGATTAATAAACAAATTAGGTGAGTGAAGTAAATTAAAAAAAAATAAATGATACAACTCGTTTTTTTATCAGTTATACACTATTCATACACAACACGAATCCATTATAACACGAATTGTTGGACACAAATTAATAAATGAATCAAATATGAGTGAATTATTTTTTAACACAAACTTGCTAAAACTCAATATAAACTTGTTTCATCTGACACGATTGAAAAGCCTAGGTGCATGAGAAGGTGACCCATAAAATTGATTCGTTAATCTACCAAAATTAGAAAAAATATATATTTAGATTTATATGTCGAATGCGGAATTAGCCTCTTGCTTGTGAGAGTAAAACTGAAAACATGTGATCTCTCCTATATTGGGCAATCCTTTTAATTTTTAAACGCAAGTATCAAAATAAAAATCAATTATAATTGTCTAATTAAAAGTTTATATAAAAAATTACCGATAAGTATTATTTTTTCCAACAAAAATCTATTAAGTTATATCTTTTTTATTTTATATCAATGAAGTCATATTCTTGATATTTTATTTTAATTAAGTCTTAAATTTTATTATATTTTACTCTTTAATTATCAGAACTTTTTCATTTTTTTTTTGTATTCTTAGAACCAATTAAAAGAACAAAAATTTCTTGCTTAAAAAATTAATATCGAAGCCCTATAAAAAAAAACCTTTGCTAACATACATTTCATGACATGATACAAAGAAAGCCCACATTTTCTTATTTTCTTATCTTATTGGGGTATCTAATCTTAAAACTTGAAATAAAATTTACTGATTATTTAATAAAATAAGAAAAGTTAAAAAACAACATCAATAATTTTGTCAATTAATTCCACTTTAATGTTACACAACAACTAAAATAAATTCTTAACTTAATCATTTTAAATTTAATATAAATTAAAAGAATAATTTAAAATTATAAAGATAATGTATTAATAGAATCTTCAATATAATAATAGTACTTTAATCGAAATAAGAATTAACTTGTGAGGAAGAAAACAACATCATATAGTAATTGAAAAATTCCAAAGGTATGTCATCGAAGTTGACATACCGGAAAGAATGTAAAGTCACATAACAATTGAAATGCATCAAGAGTGTATCGTTGAGTTGACATAAGAATGCAAAAAAAATGAAAATGTTTTGCTAATTAAGGGTGAGGATAAAATTGAAATATAATAGAATTAAGACTTAATTGAAATTTTTTTATTGAAAATAGGAATTTATTGATGTAAAATAAAATTGATAAGACTTAATGGATGTTTGCGGGAAAAAGAAATACTCATTAGTAATTTTTTCAAGTTTATTATGACCACTTGTGTGCCACCCTTTCTTTGGATACCCTGATATGGCCCGTAAACTAGCTAACGCTCGTTGTCCGCCTGCACCGTCGACTGGTGGGACGCCGACCATTATATCAAGTATACCAATGATTCAAATCGAAAAAAACCCGCCTAAAATAGTTCACATTACCTTTTTTTTGACGACAAGTGTCATTTTGGGTTTTATATCTTTTTATTTTTTTTTCATTTTGGGTTTATATCGAGTCTTAATCCAACTCTTTTAATTAATTATGTCTTGTCGTGTCTGTTTATTTACTTTCGTCATGTGTTCGTGTAGATTTATGACTGTGAATAAAAATTTTAAAACTCAGTTTTATGTTTAAAATTTCATTATCACTTAATTGAATGCATGCTCATACTTTTTTTATAAACTAAAAATTATTTTAATAAATATAATAATAAAAATGAGTAAATTTTTTTTTGTACACAAATTAGGTCACTATTTAGTAAATATATAATAAAATTTTAGTATTTTATTCTTATTATACTACATAAACGTTTTAATTATGTCAATTTCATATTGTTCATAATTAACACTAATCTAACTTATTTTTATTCGTGTTAATAAATCGTGTCTGTGTGGGGACAATAACACACAAAGAGTAGCCATCTTGTATGCAGTAGATGGCTATGTGGAAGCCTTGAGTAACTTGCAAGACAAAATAACATTTAGGTGAACCGATGACCGAGGGTAATCAAAGGGATTTCAATACTTAGGTTAGATCGCAAGTCGAAGAAGAGTATAGAGTGAATATGTTATGATTCAATCCAACCTCGACACCAAGTCTTAAAAATACGGGGTAGAGTTATATTAAGACTCGTGGTCTTAAGTCCCTATTACCAGCTCTTGGTTGCTTGAAGTGGCATTTTACTTGGACTCTAGGTTCCAAACTATTCATTTGCGGAATAGGACTCACCCAACAAACGTGGGTAAGAAGGAGGAGCCTCGGCAAAGTACCTGCCAGTCGGCAATGCCTTGGTGGCTGCTTCTTGGGCTTGCCCATGCGTAACCCTCGTGCATTGGTGGCTTGCTCTTGCCAGTCGGTGCCTTTGTCGATCGAAACTAGCAAAATGACAAAACTTCTATTTGCCTTGGTTGAACTAGAGAGCTTGTAG